CTTCCCTCTCGTGCTCTCTGTCTCTCATTCTCTCTCTCTCTCAAATAAATAAATAAAATCTTTAAAAAAAAAAAAGAAGCTTAACCTTATCTAATACAGAAAAAAAGAGAACAATTCCACCATTAGAATAATCTGTTATATTTTGATATATTTCTTTACAGAAGTTCTCTGTATAAATTTTGTTTTGTAGATATGTAGTTAGCATATAGATTGCAGAAAGACACCTTTTGCCTTGAGTTCTATGAAATGTACTTGAATTCTTATAGTACTTTTATCTTTGTAGTTCAAATGTATTTCTTCTTTAAATAATTTTTTCTTTTGCCTTTTGATTTTTTAATTACTCAAAAGAAGCTTCATTTTTTTTTTTTTTACATAGTTTTTTTGTCGTTGTTGTTAAGCGGGCTCCACGCTGGGTGTGAACTCATGACCCTGAGAGCTCAAAACCTGAGCTGAGATCAAGAGTCGGATGCTTAACCAACTCAGCCACCCAGGTGCCCCTTTACTTAACTTTCTGACTCTGCGTTGTACCTTCAACACTTTCACAACAATTTTCTGCTCCTCAATAAGGAGAGCACACTTGATCCTGTCATGAACACACTTAGCACACATGGAACCACCACAGGCTCCACTGATGTGTTTTTCATTTTAGACAACCACATAAGAACTGTAGGTGTCATAGTACAAACTCCTCAAAGTTCGCCTGGGCGCACAACTCATGAGGATTTGGGTGCTTTCCCAAATTTCTTGGTATAAAGGTAAATGATTCTATTACCAGGGGTTCAGGCCAGCCTAGTTTTGTTAGACACTGTATTGTCTGACATACGACAGTATTTCAAACACTGGACCATTCTGAATGCCTATGGATGCCATCCCCCGAAGAGGAAAAAGCTTCTCTAAAGAACTTTATATGATATTTTATTCTACTTTCATTGTCATAAGTATTGTTATTTCAAATTCATAAACATAATGCCTATGGATTACTTCATCAAATGTTTATGCTAAAATAATTTAACTATTACCCTAATTCTGGACAGTTATTTCCAATTTTTAATTCTTTTTTTAAGATTTTATTTATTTATTTGAGAGAGAAAGACAGAGCAAGAAGCAGACTTCCAGCTGAGCAGGGAGCCTGATGCAGGGCTCGATCCCAGGACCCTGGGATCATGACCTGAGCTGAAGGCAAATGCTTAACCGAATGAGCCACCCAGGCACCCCCAATTTTTAATTCTGAGATAGCTTCATACATTTAAAATTTTTTCTATTAACTCTTTATGATAAACTGAAACAGAAATATAATTAGGCCGAAGGGAAAGAAGTACTTGATAGATACTTCCTATCATTTTTAATTTCCTGCTATAAACCAGGAAAATGAATAGTATAATGCAGACTTGGGATCTAATCACCAAATATCTGGCCCTGGTGGGTTGGGTTATTACCAAAACAGCTTCTTTTGCTTATGTAAGGCAAGTGTAAGAAGCCAGTCAGATTTTTTTCTTTTCCCTGAGCCTTGGCTTGGTATGTATCACTATTTCTGATACTCAATCTTCTTACCCAAAAATAATAAATCTTAAATTTCTAAGTTTGATAGTTTTCTACATACAAATCTTGCTTATTTATCACTAACATAATTCCTAGCTATACTAAACTTTTTGCTGCTATTGTGAGTACCTATTTATTCAGGCTTTCATTTCTGAGACTATGAGTGAGCTTAATACCTAGAATCCCACAAGCATTACTGAAATGCTACTGTTCTACAAATTGTGGTTGCAAATAATACTATACACACACACACACAGACACACACATACATGATCTTTTCAATATCTTTGTATCTGATGTGTGCTGGTGAAAATAAACTGAACCTCTCTGAAGTTCTAAAACATTTATACAAAAATCGTCTACTTAAAACTTACATAAGGTGAAAAATCAACAATATTCCTTGGGGGCATAAGGAGAGAGAGTCAAATCCTACTTACTATTGCCTTACCTAGATGTTTTAAGAACTATATTAAGTTCAACAATATTATTATTGCTATGAATAAGATGGTCAAACTCCAAATAATAAATTTTTGAGAACAGAAAGCATATACCAATCATGTATTTAAATTAAGCAACCAAACCCATTGAAAACTGAATAGAATTTACATGATTCTTAAAATATTTTCATTGCCAAGTTAGGAAAATATATTTCTAAAAAGGAAACAGAAATGTGATATTCATTTTTAAGTTTCTTTTGAAAGCTCTTTTCTCCCACAATATTTATATATACATTTTCTTTCATATTATTTTAATATAGGACAGATGAATATATAAAATATGGCAGATATAAAAACTAAATCCAAAGTTAAACTATGTTTTACTAACTTTAAAATATGACATTGTTTCACATGAATTAAAATGTGGAGTTATAACTTAGGAATACATTCTTACACATAGAAACAGCCAATTGGTACTATTTGGAATATTTATATATTCTATTCAGACATGGTAAAGCACTTAATTTTGAAAACACAAATGAAAAAACTCTGCACCTAAGCAAAGTTCTAAAAGAGAACAGTATATAAAATTAGCATTTCAGTAAAAATTAGTAGAGCATACTTAATATTGATTCAAAATCAAAGAAGAATAAAATACATCCTTTAAATAATTTCTTAGGGTAGAAAACAGACTTAGTAAACCTGACCTTTAAAAGTTCCTCTGATGTAGGGCGATCTTGAGGGATTTTCTGGAGGCAAGAATCTACAAAGTTGCGAAAATAATCAGACCTATTGTAAAGGAAAGTATCAAGTGAACATATTGCTATTTCCTTTTAAGACACATCCACAAAAAATACAGAGAAGATTAGCATCCTGTGCAAGGATGACATGGAAATTCATGAAGCATTCATTTTTGAGCACTGGGTGTTGTATGTAGTGTTGAATCACTAAATTCTATACCTGAAACTAACATTACACTGTATATTAACTAACTGGAATTTAAATAAAAACTTAATTTAAAAAATCCACAAATCAAGGCATGCGTCTACTGGTGGGAAGGGGAATGGAAAAGGAATGATAAAAACAAATACAATCTACTATAGATTTTATATAAGTCTATGAAAATCTATCTAAAGCAACCAATGAATCTTTACCATTTTCCAAAGATAAATTTGTATAGATTATTTAAAAATCCTACTCCCACAATTTAAGAAACAAGCAAGCAAAGGTAAAAAAAAAAAAGAGAGAGAGAGAGAAAGAGACAGAGAGGTAAACCAAGAAACAGATCCTTAATTATAGAGATCACAGTGATGGTGACCAGAAGGGAGGTGGGTGGGGGGATGAAATAGGAGATGGAGACTAAAGAGGGCACTTGTTGTGATGAGCACGGGGTGATGTATGGAAGTGTTGAATCACTACTGTACACCTGAAACTAAGATTACACTGTATGTTAAATAACTGGAATTTAAATTAAAAACTTAAAAAAAATTCTACTCCCACATATTTAAATATCATAACTTGTTCTATACTGAGGCAAAATTAAGGAAGCCGATTTTTTCTTTGTTTTCAAATTTCAGATGACATTCTTTTCAATTTTTTTCTTTTCTCTAAGCCATTTCCCTTTTTTTTTCTTTTTAAAAGATTTTTACTTATTTATTAATTGGACAGAGAGAGAGGGAACACAAGCAGGGGGAGTGGGAGAGGGAGAAGCAGGCTTCCCACTGAGCAGGGAGCCCAATCCCAGAACCCTGGGATCACGACCTGAGCTGAAGGCAGACGCTTAACGACTGAGCCACCCAGGTGCCCCGCCATCTCTCTTTCTTGTTTGCCTGTTGGGTATCTTCTATATAGCATTTTTAGAACATCAATCTATTTGCTTTGAAGGGAGCAGTTTTATACCTATGTATTTCTAGACAAAAGGATAAAACGTCCATTAAACCCAGAAAATCAATTAGGATACTTTTTAAAACGTCAGAAGTCTGCAACATATTATTTTATAGTGTTACTGATGAGAGTTCAGTGAGGAAGGTAGTAAGTAATAATTACTCCATCAATGTTTGTCTTTCATATTCACATAAAATTTTAAGTTCCTTGTAGGCAAGAATATTTTGAATCCCCAAATATCAAACAGTGTAAAGACAGTCTGTTCAATATATTTATTACTGATATGTACCATAATGCTAAACTCCACCAAAACGTTCCTTCTAAGTATCTCTAAACAGGTAGCAAAGATCTATGAACGTACCTTAAATCTGTAATCTTTAAAAAATTAAGTCTCATTAATTTACGCATCTACTTGTCAATTTAAAAATACTTATTTAGTATCCTTGATGTACCCCTAGAATTTTTCAAATGTTAGACATACTTGAATACAGAGATACATACACTAAAATTTTCTTTTTTTTTTTTTTAAGATTTCATTTATTTATTCGACAGAGAGAGTGAGAGAGTACAACAAGGGGGAGCAGTAGAGGGAGAGGATCCCAGGACCCTGAAATCATGACCTGAGCAGCTGAGCCACCCAGTGCCCCAAAATTTTCTATCACTGATAAAAACCCTAGTTTTCTAAATCTGTTCTCCAGAAACTTCTTTACATAAATGAATTTAATTTTATCAAATCAAGAAGTACCAGGAGATGCAGTAACAGAGTATTCTGAATATAAATATCACAATAACAATTAGAACAATCCCAAAGTTATGAATTACCTGATAATTCTGATAAATCATCTTACCTATGTTTTATACTTGATAAATTATAAACCATTCCCCAATAAAACAGCACTATAGGTTGTGGCAATCTATGTATTTTAGTTATAAAATATTAATGTTTAAATTATGCTATTATATTATATATATTATTTATTATATAATTAGGGTTATATGTGTTCCTAAAATTCAAAGAAAAAAATAAAATATAAATTTTTGTAAAAAGCAATACTGTTTGCTTCCATGTGGCATCATCTATCCTTTATTTCTGAACTGAATTACATATATGTTATGAAAAGCAGATGTTAATAGAAGATAAACATGCTATAAGGGTAAGATAAACCAATTTAATATCTCTTCAGGTAATACTTTACCTAACTGAAATAAAATCATTTTGATAACATTATAAAAAAGTATTTAATCTATACAATGTTGAGTAATACATGTCTCAGCAATACTCACCATTCATTAGATTGTAGTGTAGGGGATTCATTTTGGGCTATGTGATATAAGGCACTCATTGCATTCATATTAAATAAAGGAGGCTTCCTTTCCGCTGTAAAAGAAAGAAACTTTCCTGTTAAAATATGTGCCTGTTATACAAGGGCATGCAAACACTGTTTAAAAAATTTGGTAGGGGGGCCGACCTGGATGGCTCAGTCAGTTAAGCGCCCAACTCTTGATTTCAGCTCAGGTCATGATCTCAGGGTTGAGAGACTGAGCCCCAGCCAGGCTTTGCGCTTGGTGTGGAGCCTGGTAAAGATTCTTTTTCTCCCTCTCCCCGTCCCTCCCCTCCCTCTCTCACAAAAATTAAATTAAATTTAGAAAAATTTTAATAATGTTTTTTCTTTTTGGAAAGTCTCATCTCAAACTTAGCAAAAAAAAATTGCATATAGAACTTTTTCAAGTGAGTCAATTTACACTAAGTTGCTGGCCTAATGCCCTACCATGCCTAAATACTTCAGTGTATATTTCCCATAAATAAGAACCTTCCACTAAAGAACCACAATTAAATCAGGCCGTTAATACTGATACATGAGTTATCATCTAATCCTCAACCCTATTCAAATTTCAATCAAATGTTCCAATGTGTCCTTTGTAGCAACAGCAAACCTTGGTCATTTGCATCAAGGAAAGTGTGCACCTTAGCTAAGTTACTAAATTAACATAAAATTGTTCATAATATTTCCCTATAACCCTTTTAATACCTGTAAAATGTGTAGTGATGTCACTTCCCATTCCTGATATTGGTCATTTGTGTCTTGTTTTTTTCCTGATCAATGTGGCTAGAAGTTTATCAATTTTATTAATTTTCTCAGAGAACTAGTTATTTTGCTTTGTTTTGTTTTTTAAGATTTATTTTAGTGAGAGAGGGAAAGAGAGGGCACTCTTGAGCACGGGGGAACGGGAGGGGCAAAGGGGCTGGGAGAGAGAGAGAATCTCAATCAGACTACCCACTGAGCACTGAGCCAGCGCTGGGCTTGACCTCAGGACTTCTGAGATCATAACCTGAGTGGGAATCAAAAGTCCCAAGCTTAACCGACCTAGCCACCCAAGCGCACCTCAGAAAACTAGTTTTTTGTTTCATTGGTTTTCTCTATTGTTCTTGTTTTTTATTTAACTGATTCCTGCTTTGATTTTTTAAAGTTTTTATTTATTTATTTATTTGAGAGAGAGAGAGGGAGAGAGGGAGACAGCATGAGCAGGGGGAGGAGCAGAGGGAGAAGCAGGCTTTCCACTGAGCAGGGAGTTAAACACAGGGCTTAATCCCAGGACTCTGGGATCATGACCTGAGTGGAAGGCAGACGCTTAACCAACTGAGCCACCCAGGCGCCCCACCTGCTTTGATTTTTTTAAATTCTCGTTGTTCTAATATTTTGGGTTGAATTTTTTCTTTTTTTTTAAGTATACTCCATGCCTGATGTGGGGCTTGAGCCAATCATAACCCCAAGATCTAAAGTCATATGCCCTACTGACTGAGTCAGCCAACTGCCCTTTGCTCCTCTTTCTAGTCTCTTAAGGTAACCGCTGAAGTCATTTTGAAGTATAGAAGACTCTTGAATGTCCCTCAATTTGGGTTTGTCCTATGATTACATTTGGGTTATACATCTTTGGCAGGAGCATCACAGAAGTGTTATATTTTTCTCACTTTATTCTAGGAGATGATGATTTTGAATGCTTCCATTATTGACGGTGTTCACATTGTACCAATTAAAGCTGTGTCTGACGGACTTCTTCATGGTAAGTTTGTTTCCTTTGTAATTAATAAGTATTTTTTGAGAAGGTACTTTGAATCTATACATCCTGTTTTTTCATAAAACTTTAATTTTCCTATTTATTTATTGTATGAACTTGCAGATTTCTATTTTATTTTATAATCTGCTACTATCCTTTATTTTATTTTGATGTTCAAAATGTCTTATGTCTGAGCAGTGAGAACCATTTTACTGGCTTCTTTCTGACATGGTCCTATCATTTCTTAATCACTTCCTTGCTTTCTGGCACACTAAGATTTTCCAGGCTCATCTCGTACTTTCCACACTCCAGACTAAGGTTCCCACCATTTCTCCAAGGACCTGTGGCAACAGGTGTGCTCACTGCTACTGAGGTGTCACTGTTCTTAGATCCTTTCAGTGGACAGAACTAGGAAACACTAATATACACAATATATTTATATACATACATGCACATTAAACATATTTGTTTATGAAAACAATGGAATTCTAGCTTTATGTCTTTCCATTATTTGTCACACCCTTCTGACAATGAGGAACCTTGCTCTTATTATCCTTAATTAATATTTTATTTGATAAATTCTCCCTGTATGTAAACAGTCTCCCATCTTTGCTACCACATTCTTTTTGGTGTTTTGTTTTGTTTTGTTTTTAACTACCACATTCTCTCTTGAGCAGACGCCCCCTTTTCTTGCTCAAGTTTGTTGTTGCTGTTTTTCCTCGCTCAAGTTTTGAAACCCCATTCCCAGTTACTCTACAGTGTGAACATTTTTTTATCCACTCAGTTTCTAAAACCCAACCTAACCTGGGTCACTTCTCTGCAGCGTGGCCCTCATCAGTCTTTATGAGGGAAGCTGTCTTCCTTTTGATCAGGGATAAACACTGTATCAGGCCACCCCCAAATATAGATGTCCTCCTTAGACTCTGACCCTATATGATAGGAAGTTTCTCCTATTGTCACCTCTTTACCCTACTTGGGCTCTGACATCCTATGCTGAACCACCTCCATGGCTCATGAGGGGGTCATTGCCCCTAACTCCCACGTTGTTCAAGGGTCAGTCGACTGTATTGTTGAATTTGGTTTGCTAATACTCTGTTGTGGGTTTTCTGGATCGATGTTGATCAAGGATATTGGCCTGTAATTTTCTTTTCTTTTAGTGTCCTTTTCTTTTTCAAAAATGACCTTTTGGTATCAGGGTAATGCTGGCCTCATAAAATGAGTATGGAAGCGTTCCCACCTCTTGTACTTTTTTGGAAGAGTTTGACAAGGATTCGTATTAATTCTTCTTTATATGTTAGAATTCACCAGTGAAATGACCTGGTCCTGAACTTCTGTTTGTTGGAATGTTTTTGATTACTAATTTGATCTTCTTACTAGTAATCAGTCTGTTCAGATTTTCTATTTCTTTATGATCCAGTCTTGGTAGGTTGTATGTTTCTAGGAATTTATCCATTTCTTCTAGGGTTGTCCAATTTGTTGGCATCTAATTGTTCATAGTAGTCTCTTGTGATAATTTGTATTTCCGTGGTATCAGTTGTAACATCTCCTCTTTCATTTCTGAATTCGAGTCCTCTTCTTTTCATGGTAAATCTAGACAAAGGTCTGTCTGTTTTATTTATCTTTTCAAAAAACCAGCTCTTAGTTTCGTTGATCTTTTCTATTGGCTTTTTAGTCTATCATTTATTTCTGCTCTGATCTTTGTTATTTCCTTCCTTTTATTAACTTTAGGCTTAGTTTGTTTTTTTCTAGTTCCTTGAAGTACAAAGTTAGGTTATTTAAGATCTTTCTTGTTTCTCAATGTAAGCATTTATCCCTATGAACTGCCCTCTTAGAACCGCTTTTGCTGCCTCCTATACATTTTAGTATGTTGTATTTCCACTTTCATTTATCTCAGGTATCTTTATTTCTCTTTTGATTTCTTCTTTGACCCACTGGTTGTTACAGTAGCATGTTGTTTAATCCTCATATGTTTGTGGATTTTCCGGTTTTATTCTTATAATTGGTTTTAAGTTTCATACCATTTTGTCGGAAAAGATGCTTAATTGATTCCAATGTTCTTAAATTTATTAAGACTTACTCTGTGGTCTAACATATGATCTATCTTGGAGAATGCTCCATGTATACTTGAGAAAAATATCATTGTGTTGCTTTTGGATGAAATGTTCTGTATAGACATGTCTGTAAAGTCCATCTGTTTCAACGTGTTAAGGCCAATGTTTCCATATTGATTTTTTGTCTGGATGCTCTATCCATTGATAAAAGTGGGGTATTACAGTCCTCTACTATTATTGTATTGCTATTACTCCATTTAGGTGTATCAAAGTGCTTTACATATTTAGGTGCTCCTGTGTTAGGTGCATAAATATTTACAAATGTTATATCTCGTTGCTGGATTGACCTCTACACCATTATGTAATACCCTTCTTTGCCTCTTACCACAGTTGTCGTTTTATTTTTTTTTTAACTTTTTAAAAAAAAGATTTATTTATATATTTGAGAGAGAGTGTACATAAGCACAGGGTGGGGAGAGGAGGGGAGCAGAGGGAGAGGGAGAGAGAAACTTAAGCAGACCCGGGTGAGCATGGAGCCCGATGTGGGGCTCGATCTCACGATCCTGAGAACATAACCTGAACTAAAAGAGTCAGAGGCTTAACCAACTGTGCCACTCAGGTGCTCCTTTACTTTTTTAACTTTTAGTAGGCTCCACACCCTACATGGGGCTTGAACTCATGACCCTGAGATTAAGAGTCACATGCTCTACCAACTGAGCCAGCCAGGCATCCGTACAGTCTTTGTTTTAAAGTCTATTTTGTCTGATGTAAATATAGCTACTGCACCTTCTTTCGGTTTCCATTTACATGGAATATCTTTATCACCCACCTTCACTTTTAGTCTGTGTGTATCCTTAACATCTGAAATGAGTCTCTCGTAGGCATTACATAGATGGGTCCTGCTCAGCTACCCTATGATTGGAGAATTTAGTCCATTTATAATTAATTATTGACAGGTATGTACTTACTGCCATTTTGTTAATTGTTTTCTGATTGTTTAATTCCTTTGTTCCTTTCCTCTTCTTTTGTGATTTGATGATTTTTTCTATTAGTATGCTTAGATTCCTTTCTTTTGATCCTTTGTGTATCTACTATAGGTTTTTGCTTTGTAGTTACCATGAAGCTTACATAAAACTTATATTTATAGTAGTCTACTTTAAGTTGGTAACAACTTAAGTATGAACACGTTCTAAAGTTCTACATTTTTACTCTCCAAACTCCATGTTTTATGTTTTTAATGCCACAACTGACATCTTTTTATCTTGCATATCCATTAACAAATTACTGTAGTTGTTATTTTGATTTATTTTTTTTTTCAAAGATTCCATTTATTTATTCATGAGAGACAGACAGAGAGAAAGAGAGGCAGAGGGAGAAGCAGGCTCCCAAGGAGCAGGGAGCCCGATGCGGGACCCGATCCCAGGACTCTGGGATCATGACCTGAGCCGAAGGCAGACGCTTAACCATCTGAGCCACCCAGGTGCCCCTGATTTATTTTCTTATTGCTATTTTTTCTGAAATTTGATGTCCTCGACATATACTTAATAACCAGAAAAAAAATGGTAAATTTTACTTTTATAGACACAACTGTACAATCAGGCACAAAGCCTGAAAAACAACAAACTAGGTAACTTTTTCATAAGATTAATTGTAAACAAGCATATGAACTCACCTATGAAAAATCCTCTACTTTAAGATTTCTTGGTCATAAGACATAACCAAGTTACTTCAATTTTTATGATAACAAAGTATGAAAGTATTTATTAATAACTATATTTATCAAAACCAGGGTCAGTACAATTGACTTATATTTGTTCTCCTACCTGCACTATAAGAACATAGTTTCCTTTAACTCATTATCCTTAACTACTTATCTATTTTTAAAGATTTTATTTATCTTAACTATTTTAAAGTTCAAAAGCATATAACAGATGTATTTCTGAAGACTGCAAATCTAATTTGCATTGAAAATCATGCCTCTTGATCTGTACTGTCCAACAGGCTAGCCACTAGCCACATGTGACTATTTAAATGTAAATTTATTTAAATGGTGTAAAATTCAATATTCATTTACTCAATTCCAACAGCCACATTTCAAGTGCTCAAAAGCCATGCAGATACAGAACACTTCTATCACTGCAGAAAATTTTACTGGCCTGTGCTACTGTACACCTTTCCTCTGGAACCAGAAGCAGGCTTAAAATGTAGTTACTAACTTAGCACTTCATAATTCAAAACATCTGTAAGTAAAATTTTAAAAAGTGATTATGAAAGATTATAAAAGCTGAAGATGCCAAAAGTATGCCTAAAACTCTAAGAATTTCTTTAAACGTCTCTCATTTAAAATTATCTAAAGGCAGTTTCATCTTCTGATATTGTTTTATTTTAAGTGTAAAGACTCTCATTGTGAAGGAATTCTATTTTCTTAGCTATAATAAAAAGAAGCTAGGGGGGGTGCCTGGGTGGTATAGTTGGTTAAGCCTCTGACTCTTGGTTTCGGCTCAGGTTGTGCTTTCAGGATCATGAAACTGATCCCCAAGACAGGCTCCATGTTCAGCCTCTCCCTCTGCCCCTCCCTCTTGTGCTCTTTCTCTCTCTCTCTTAAATAAATAAATCTTAAAAAAATAAAAAAGAAGCTAGAAAGTCTGGAAAAATAAGCCACTTCACAGAAACTGGAGTTTAGACAGATTTCTTGCTGAGCACTACAACTGGTCAATGAATACTTTCTAATCAAATAAATATTAACATATATCAATAATATCTAACAGCACCATTAAGACAATTTCACTATCACCAAGGGGCACATGTATGTATCAACCAGCACAAGTATGTAAAAATACCTCACGGGCAGAGTATATTTAACCAGCTTCTCTACATTTATACCCAGATTTCTTAAGAAACTAATTAGGATCTACCTGTAGAAAGAATTGAGGTTAAAACACTTCCAAATGGAAAAAACATTCTGCAAACCTCAAAGAGAGACCAAGAGATCAGAGGAGAATGACATGATGGTAATCTCCAAATCTCTGTTCACTGATGCTGTCATACTTTAAAGTAAAATAAATAAATAAGATAGAGCTTGAAGGGAATAGTTAATGTAGCAATTACAATAAAAGCAAAAATATCTAAAGATTATGTAATTTTGGAAAAATATTAGACTGTAAGAGAGAAAGAGCCTGGTTTATAATGGAAATTATGATTTTCATCTACTATATAAGGATAAGACTTTGATTTTATTTTACCTCAATTTCCCTACTTATTTTACAAAACTGATTAACTCAACTTGAAAATCATTTAATCAAATTACACATGGATTTTACTTTTTCTTTAAGATTTTATTTATTTGAGAGAGAGAGTGTGTATGCCTGCGCAAGCAGGAGGAGGAGCAGAGGGAGAAGGACAAGCTGACTCCGCACTGAGTTGGAGCCCGAGGCAGGGCTAGATCCCACAGCCTCGAGATCATGACCTGAGCCGAAATCAAGAGTTGGACACTCAACTAACTGACCTACCCAGGCGCCCTCACATGGATTCTATTTTTAACGTGTTATTTTCAATCTCTGGTTACTCCTAGAATGGTTCAATTAAATATTCCCAATATTTCCCACTTTTAAATAAAGTTTAATGGAATATTCTTTTTTTTTTTTAAGATTTTATTTGTAAGTAATCTCTACACCCATCATGGGGCTCAAACTTAAAGAGTTGCATGCTCTATTGACTGAGCCAGCCAGGCACCCCTGGAATATTTTTATAAGAAGAAAAAAAAGGAAAGGATATAGGACTGGAAGGGGTAAGCTTGGAGAATCAAGAGAAGATGGACCTCATCTTTAATTATAGTGACAATTCAATTATCTACCTGGCTCACTTAAACTGGGAATGTTAGTAAAGTCATGATGGTCCACTGACTTAAGCATAGTTCCCTTTATGGGCAACAGAATAAAATGTGTGCATAAAATCAAATTGTTACAGTATGGCATGCAGCCTGACATCTAATTCTCATACCTAATTCAAAGTAATAAGTATCCTAGGTAGAGGTAAGTAGTTCAGTGCTGTAGAGACTTTCTACAGATGGTAAATCTAGTAATCACAGACATATTTTAAATGTTTAACAAATAGCCATTAAATATTAGACATAAATACCTCAAACTTAGTACCACAGTGGAAAATTATTCTAGACCTAATTTAACACAGCAAATATCATATACCTCACCAAATATATATATAAAAAGTACCAGATAACCAAAGTGAAAACTTTAATAGATTTATTGTTCACTTTAGTAACTGACATAAAAGATAAAAAGCTATGACTTGGTACAGAAAATGAGGTAAAACACTGATCACAACTTACTATATAGTAATAAAGAACAATGCTTACCTAGTTCAATACATGTTATTCCAAGAGACCATACATCTACTTTGCCATCATACTGTCCTTCATCCATGGCTAAAATTACTTCTGGGGCCATCCTAAAACATAAAATGTCATTTAGAGTAAAAAAAAAAAAAAAAAAAAAAAAATGTATACTACCCTTTAAAAATGTAATGACCATCTACATAGAGAAAACCTGTGTGAATTCTAGAAGAATTTTTATAATGAGAAATAAATGCACTACAGGTCATCAGGTAAATATTTACCATTGCATATATACTGTGAGACTCATTCTCACCATCTGTCATGATTATATAACAGCATCCTAAAGAAAGGATGCCCCAGAGCAGGATTGCATATTCTACTATTGTATAACCCTTAGGCTAGTGATTCTTTTTTTTTTTTAACTCAGTGGGGTTTTTCTTGTTATTTTTTTAAAGTTTTTTGTTTGTTGTTGTTGTTGTTTTTTGAGAGAGAGAGAGAGTAGGGAAAGGGCAGAGGGGGAGAGAGAATCCTAAGCAGGCTCCAGGCCCAGTGTGGAGCCCGACTTGGGGCTCGATCTCAGGACCCTGAGATCATGACCTGAACCGAAATCAAAAGTCGGACACTTAACCAACTGAAGCACCCAGGCACTCCCCCTTAGGCTAGTGATTCTTAAATATTTTGGTCTCAGGATCCTACTATGAAAGCCTGAATTATGCTTCAAAGATGGAATTGTTATCATTAGCACTGAATACTGTCAATTGTTTTCCTTGAAGTGACAAGCTCACTCCATTTATTTGAGAAAATATCTGCCACAATAACCAACACTGAATAACCATAGTTTGTCACTCTTCCTTTTAAATAGTAACAGTGTTCCATGATAAAAGTGGCTAGGGCAGCTCACAACAAAGACAATTACACAATTATCAACCTTACAGGTGTCTTGGTTATAAAATGGAACATTAATTCATGTTTTCAATTAGAGTCTAACATTTTTGATGGTACTTTAATTTATACTTCACTTGTATTTGTTGTTAAGCATAGACAGACACTTAGAACAGTTGTTGATGCTTAGGTAGGATTGTCACCATATTCCCCAGTGTGTATGAGTGTGTGTGTATAAGCGTAAGTGTAAAGACATCTAGCTCCTACGTTCCAAATACACCACATATAAATTAGTGAATATGTAAATAAAGTAAATTTTCAGTTGTCAATACCAGAGTGTTTCCAAGATTTTTTTTTTCTAATAGAGGGAGGGGCAGAGGGAGAAGGAGAGAAAGAATCTTAAGCAGGTGCTATGCTAGGCATGGAGCCTGACGTGGGACTCAATCCCATGACCCTAAGACCATGACCTGAGCCAAAATAAAAAAAAGTTGGACGCTTAACCAACGAAGCGACCCAGATGCCCCCCAAGGTTCTTTAAGATGTTGAAGTAAGTTTGGGAAATTACTAATTTAGGCAGAATTAAACAAGTAATTTTGTTTTTTATTGCAGAACTTTTCAGGACCTTTTAAATATCTAATATTCAGCATTAATTTATAAATAGGAGAAACATTAAGAAATATTTGCTCACAGAATCCTTTTAATAGAAGGGAAAGGGAGTCTACCTAAAGTAGGGTTCTACATAAGAAATTTTTGGTCATCTAGGGCAGTGGAGGAGTAGAAATTCTTCAAGTTTTTAAATTCGTTTGCCTCTAATGAATTTATGAGAATTATTTATCCCCTTGTACATTTTTGAGTTATCTAAATTTTATAAACTTAATAGCTATAAAGGATATAATGCACAGCATATCTATCTATCTATATATATATACACTTTATACTGTATATGTGATTTAAAGATATTTAAAACACAGAGCTGCAGAGTTAGCTCATTTGATTTATTAAAAAACAACAACACACTGCTGTCTAACTCATTTAGCAAAGCCAGTCTTCATTGTCATATCAATCAGGCAAATAAGAATCACTTTCTGTCAAAAAAGTCTGACTTCATTTTCAATGCAAATAACATGTTAATATGTCCCCATGACAACCATCTCAGTTATGAATTTTACTGGGGGAAAGATAACTGAGGAGAGAGAAAAAGCAAGGAGTAAAAGGAAGGGAAGGAAGATGACTGAAAAGGCACAAGGCCTTGCCAAGAGTCTGTGCCTTGACTCTTCAATATTTCTGATAGTTACTATATATTCTCAAATTGTTCTTCTGGTATTGCTTTGAGGTTTTTACAACCAAGACCAATGCATCACTGTAATATTCAGGATGTAAGGAGTCCTCTTTTTTATAAAGCAGGAGAGGGAGATTTGAAAGGTAGGTGGGAAAGAAGATGTAGTGGAACTAAGACACCACTCTCACCATATGGAAGTTGAAGAGCTGGACAATTATTTCCTTCAAACTTGCTGACATTAATACTGAATTATTTATGGATAAAACAGAGGATGCCTAGAACTTGCTTCACAATAATGGCAGGGTCGGGGAGGAGAGAAAAATGAGTACATAGAGCAGGAGTGGCCATGGGATATTGTTTTTGGGCTGGGTGACTCTTATGTGAGGCTTCATTATACTTTTGTCTACTTTTATGTATATCTGAAATCTCCATAATAAAAAATAAAACCAAAAAACTCCAAATCAGCTATCAGTCTTCAGGTATTCTTAGTCTGAAGATACTGATATATGATAAACATAAATCTAAAGAAAACACACAAATTTCCACTTAACATTTCTATCTTCTCCTCCACTTGGATTTTCACTGAATATTTTTACTCCCACACCCAAAATATGACGCAGGTTATAATACAGAAGAAAATGTCGAGGGGACAAATGAAAAAATAGGAGATGTAAAGGCAGCACTCCAAATCTATATTTGAAACTAACTATGCTTAAAGTTAAAATGTCCAAAATAGCATTATATTACCAGGCAAAAGATAAGGCAGCTGAAAAAGTATAATCACACATTTCCTATTTCAATCATGAGTATCAATAGCAAATAGGATTATTCTTACCAATATGGCGTTCCCACAAAAGAATTGGCAGGAGATGCCATGGAAGCTGATCCAAAGTCAGCAAGTTTCACCTGGCCTGGTTCTGTCAGAAGGATATTTCCTGCTTTGATATCTCTGGGTTCAAGGAACACAGAAAATTATTTCTCTTTTCTTCATTAGATTGTGTTGAAAATGATAAAAATCAAATAAAAAATTTTAAAATAGGGAAGGAGAAATCAAAATAATTAAGTCCTAGGGTAATTTCTAAATTAGGATAATGAGAATTAAGATCCAAAAGTAAAAACTACAGAAGTGATATAAATATACAGTGATAATTTTCTTCTCTAAAAGAGAAGACAAAATAGCAGTAAAGACAAAAGACAGAAAATCAAGTAATTCGAGTACAGTCTATACTTGAGTTCCTATTTATTGATACAAATAATAAAAATAGAATTTAATTAGCTGACCATTCCTTCATAATTTTAAAATTTCTGAGTATACCACTTAAAGTTAAAAAAAAGATCTCATAGCCCAAATTTGTTTTTTTAAAAGTTATTCTTACCATTTCAAAACATTAGCATAGTTCTCCTAATTAAACATGAAATGAAAACTGAAACACATGGATAATGTAGTATCTAATAATCCAAATTTACTTTCAAGCTTGCTTTTTAAAAATCAGCAAACATATTATCCATGCAAAATAAGAACATTATGGACATTTATATAATAGGATTGTATGTCCAACTGGCACCATAACATACATTTAACCTTTCCAAAAAAACCCCAAAAAACCAACCAAACAAACAAAAAAAAAACCCAACCAAATTTCCAAGCACTTGTCAATTCTAACTAGAGTATTGTAATGGATATAATATTAAATAAATCTTTTCCATTTCCTTTTTAAATGAGGAGAGGTACTTTGCGGTTGATAAGACCTTAGGTTCTAATTCCAACTCTTCCATTCACTTATTTGTTAGCATGTAGATTTCTCTTGGATCTTACTATCATCATCTTAAAAAAAAAAAAAGGGTAAGCCATTTAGCTCACAATGACTCTACTATATAGTTGAATATCAATTGCCTGGTCCACTGCTAGTTTCCTTTTAAAATAGTCAAAACCTGTATCAATGCTAAAAATGCATTATAAAATAGTTTAACCTTAATGTTACTATCCATTATTAAGAATCATCAAGGATTAATACTCAAAAGCATAGAGTGTTAAGTCCATGTCATGGGATCAATGGAACAAAACTGGCATTATCAGTTCCCAGAAAGACAAAAGACCTAAGCTTAGTTCCAGTCTAGTCTGGCTTTGTAAACTTCAGAAAAATTAGTCATAAACTAGGGCATCGCTTTATCTGTAAAATGAAAAAGGTTAAGACTACATAATCCCTAATGTCTTTTCCATCTTACAAATTAAATGATTCTACTATTATATTCCTACCACACATCTATAAAGTGCACAAATGTCAGAAAACCCAGCAGCACGTGTAGACAAAGATAAAACTGATCCTAAAAGAAAAATTATTTAATTTTGAATTAAATTAAACCTTTTATCATTATGGAAGAAAAAACCTGATCCTAAAAGGAGATCAAATGTACTGGCATGTTTGTAGGACAACCTAAAAAATGAGTTTATAAGATTCTGAAATACTTTTATATGGCTATAACCAACAAAACTTTCAGGGTTAGTAAGTTCCACGGTTGATAAATCCAATAAGCCACTTGCTGTTAATACATGATAATTGTCAAAGTGCTTACCTATGGATCATGGTATGAGAATGTAAGTAGGCTAATCCCTGGAGAGCACCATGTGTAATTGCTGCTATTTCCACTTCTTGTAATGGCTTTTTGTGAACTTAAAATAAGAATTTATTGGAAGATAATTACTATACAGAATATTTTTGTTTAAAAAAATAAACATCTAATATTTGAGGGAATTTTAAAAAATAAACATTTAGTGAGAAGACTTGGTCCCCAAAACAAAACAAAGCTACTGAACTTTAGAACTGGAATTACAGTTGTGCCTAGCTGTTAAAGTATATAGCTCACAGCCAATTTTTCTCTAAGCTAACAAAATTCAACAATTAGTTAATTATAAAAACAAAAGTAACAAAAGAGAGGTTCTCCCTTTATTCTCACACATCTTCATTCTGAACAGAAGGAATAGGTTAAGCTAAATGACAAAGAATAAAGAAAAACGCTTGGTAAGTCATAATACAAAAAAAATTCACCTATTTTATGCTACTACAGGACAGTACATACCACAAAGAGAATCTTTCAGAAAAGGCAAAGGTTTTTACTCTATCTGTAAAGTTTTTACATTATTTAAGAAAATCATACAGAATTCTCATTATATTTTTGCTAATACTTTTTTTCCTGAATAATTAAAGGAAACCTACCTTCCAGTAAATCTGAAGCAGATCCTAAACAATATTCCATTACCAGCTACATGGGAAGAAAAATTATAAAGGCATTAAATTAGTAAAAAGATTCTATTTGAGATAAAATAAGTTCACCAAGGAGATCAAGAAGATAGTTTGAAGTAAAATAACTCTAGTCATCATTTACCTTAAAAAATATGTATTTAGCAATTTCTTAAATGATAAAGTTAAGCCAATGATACATTAATCTTTTACGCTGACATGTAATCACTTGTACAGGAAGTATATTTCATCCATAATTACTAACTAAAACTATAAAGGAATATAGTTACATTGTTATAACTTAGCAAATGGAAAACCATACTCTGGATCTATATGTACAAAGGTTAGGTTACAGTTTAAATGCTTCCTTAAAGCAAACACAGAGCATCTCCTGTGTGCCAGATATTTTATATATATTAACCAATTTAATCCTTATAACCACCTTATAAGGTAGGCCCTATTATTACCCTTGGGGATCATTTCTGTTAAAAGAAAATTTACTCTTTTTTTTAAGATTTTATTTATTTATTTGAGAGAGAGAGAGACAGAGTGACCAGAGAGAGAGCACAAGTGGGAAGGAGAGGGAGAGGCAGGTTCCACACTGAGCAGGGAGTCAGATGCAGGGCATGATCCTAGGACCCTGGAATCATGACCTGAGGGGAAGGCAGACGCTTAACTGCTGAGCCATCCAGGCACCCAGAAAATTTACTCTTTAAAGATACATTTATTATGCCTATACCACTGTTGGAATACTACCTTGTCACCTCAATGGTAAAAAGAAAAACTTAATCTCCACTTCTTGTAATAGTGTCTCAATTCTCTACCATTAGTATTATTCGGCCAAGGAATTACAATCAGTTCATATTTCACCAAAATTCACCAACACTTTACCAAAATCTTGTAGATTACAATATATTTATGTCAAAAAGATATGCTAATTTTTATCCTCAAATAATAGGATTATTGTACAATGCTTGATAAACCATTTTAAAATGGTGATACTAAAAAATGTCAGAGAACATTTTACCATGCACATAAAGGTCAGCCAAATCTCTGCGGTAAACTTGCAAAAGTTCTATTATCTCTTATTGCCAAGGAGTTCTAAGAAAAGCTGCTCTTCCTCTCTCAGTATGAACTAACATTTCAAGGTGTTTTTGCATGGCTTTCCACAACCACCTTGAGACATTCTTGAATTAATTCTAAACCAATACCAACTAAATTATAGCAAGGAGAGGGCAAACACCTACCCATGCTGTGTGCTCACGTAAATAGCAGCCTTTGTATTCTATACTGTTGGGATGTTTTATTCTTTGTAGAAACTTGACTTCCTTAATAATATCCTGCCATTTCTGTGGGGAAAAAAAGGAATAAAGGAAAGAATTATGAACAGTTGCTTTTCCTTAGAAAGTTATATAAGAAAAAAGTAATTACTAGCTTAAGCAGGGTTAATGAGAACATACAACTTTGCTTTATTTGTAATATTTAAATAGCAAACTAATGAATTTGAATGAAATGACATTTGTATAGGTTAAACTCAATTCATAATTTATAAAGTTATTTTATTCAAGGTAGAAAACTTTTAGTTTGATAAAATTTATCATCAATGAATCTCATTAAATTTTACAATCACACACCAAGCATGTTGATGAAAACTATATACTATATTTTGTGATTTTTCTTCATCAGTTCAACTTCCCCTTTCTTTTTTTGTTTTTGATTTTACTTATTTGAGAGGAAGACAGAGCGAGAGAGAGAGACAGCAAGAGCAGGGGGAAGGAGAAGCAAACTCCTCACTGAGCAGGGAACCTGACACGTGGGTCAATCCCAGGATGCTGGGATCACGACCTGAGCCAAAGGCAGATGGTTAACTGACTGAGCCACCCAAGCACCCTCTTTTTTTTTTTTAAAGATTTTACTCAAAATGGATGAAAGACCTAAACATGAGACAAGAATCCATCAAAATCCTAGAAGAAAACACAGGTAGCAACCTCTTTGACCTTGGCCGCAGCAATTTCTTGCTAGACATGTCTCCAAAATCATGGGGAAACAAAGGCAAAAATGAACTATTGGGACTTCATCAAGATAAAAAGCTTTTGCACAGCAATGGAAACAGTCAACAAAACGAAAAGACAACCTACAGAATAGGAGAAGATATTTGCAAATGACATAACAGATTAAGGGCTAATATCCAAAATCTATAAAGAACTTATCAAACTCAACACCCAAAGAATAATCCAATCAAGAAATGGGCAGAAGACATGAACAAATATTTCTCCAAAGAAGACATCCAAATGGCCAGCAGACACATGAAAAAGTACTCAACATCACTCGGCATCAGGGAAATACAAATCAAAACCTCAATGTGATACTACTTCATACCAGTCAGAATTGCTAAAATTAACAAATCAGGAAATGACAGATGTTGGCGGGGATGCGGAGAAAGGAGAACCCTCCTACACTGTTGGTAGGAATGCAAGCTGGTGCAGCCACTCTGGAAAACAGTATGGAAGTTCCTCAAAAAGTTGAAAATAGAGCTACCCTACGACCCAGCAATTGCCACTACTGGGTATTTACCCCAAAGATACAAATGTAGTGATCCAAAGGGGCGCCTGCACCCCAATGTTTATAGCAGCAATGTCCACAATAGCCAAACTATGGAAAGAGCCCAGATGTCCATCGAGGGATGAATGGTTAAAGAAGATGTGGTATGTATGTACACACACACACACACACACACACAGGAATATTACGCAGCCACCAAAAAAATGAAATCTTGCCATTTGCAATGACATGGATGGAACTAGAGGGTACTATGTTAAGTGAAATAAGTCAATCAGAGAAAGACAATTACCGTATGATCTCACTGATATGTGGAATTTATAAAACAAAACAGAGGATCACAGGGGAAGGGAGGAAAAAATAAAATAAGATGAAACCAGAGGGGGAGACAAACCATAAGAGACTCTTAATCACAGGAAACAAACTGAATGTTGCTGGAGGGGATGGGGGTGGAAGGATGGGGTAACTGGGTGATGGACATTAAGGAGAGCATGTGATGTAATGAGCACTGGCTATTATATAAGACTAATGAATCACAGGCCTGTACCTCTGAAACCAATAGTACATTGTATGTATGTAAATTTATATAATTGAATTTAAATAAAAGAATGTTTAAAAAAATAAAGACTTATTTATTTGAGATAGAGACGGGGTAGAGTATGAGTGGGGGGAGGGGGGAGGGAGAGGGAGAAGCAGGCTCCCCGCTGAGCAGTAAGCCCAACTCTAGGCTCAACCCCAGGACCCCAAGATCATGAGCTGAGATGAAGACAGACACTTAACCGACTGAGCCACCCAGGCGCCCCATCAACTTTCCTGTTATTTGCAGCTTTATTAACATGTAATTTACAGGGGCGCCTGGGTGGCTCAGTTGTTAAGCGTCTGCCTTTGGCTCAGGTCATGATCCCAGGGTCTGGGATTAAGCCCCACATCGGGCTCCCTGCTCCGCGGGAAGCCCACTTCTCCCTCTCCCACTCGCCCTGCTTGTGTTCCCTCTCTTGCTGTCTCTCTCTGTCAAATAAATAAATAAATCTTTAAAAACAAACAAAAACAAAAAACAAAAAAATCCCATGTAATTTACATGCCATGTAGGTCACCTATTGTGTTTTTGGCTTATATGTTCTACCAAATACTAAGGTTATGTTTGTTTTTTAAACTCAAATGATTACTTTGAGATTTAAATTCCTAAATGCATACTTTCTAAATGCTAGTAAATAACTGTTACTATATAGGAAAGGTCACAGAAAAAAACAAGCAGTATGAAAATATTTTCTTACACATTTTACTAAGAGCCTTCTTCATTGACAGCTTTGAAGAAATACAGATAAATCTTTGGCCTTAAGTTACTCCATGACAGCCTTACTTATGTCATATCCATAGTTACTCTTAAGCAACCAGCGAGGGGTGCCTGGGTGGCTCAGTAGGTTAACTGTCCTGGATCAAGCCCCACAGCGGGCTCCCTGCTTAGCAGGGAACTCTGCCTCTCCCTGTCCCCCTGCTAATGCTCGCTCTCTCTCTTTCAAATAAATAAAATCTTAAAAAAAGAAAGCATCCAGGGAACTCTAAAAATACAGATCCTTTGGTCCATACTCAAAGATTCTAGAGGCTTAGTAGATGTGGGATGGAAATTAGGAATCTGCTTTTTGTTCTTGTTTGAGTTTTTTCATTCAAAGTTTTCTACTAACTTGGGCCATATTTCTAAAGGCAGGGAAACTACTAGCATAATAGAAAACGTTGAGAAATGTTTTGTACTAAAACTTAAGATCATATATCTCCTATTTTATTTCACAAGTCCTCAACAAAATACAGCAAAATATGTTTACAGTGTTGTTTTTTTTAAGATTTTATTTATTTATTTGAGAGAGAATGAGAGATAGCACGAGAGGGAAGAGGGTCAGAGGGAGAAGCAGACTCCCTGCTGAGCAGGGAGCCCGATGCGGGACTCGATCCCGGGACTCCAGGATC